ATGGAGGGGATTATAATCATTGTAATGAAACAAAGTATATGATTTGTTGAATGTAAAACTGATAATCTGCCCTGTAAACTTTCACTCAATTCACAATAAAAACTTAAAAAAATTAAAAAGAGGGAAGAGCATGAGCAGAGTGTGGGACCCCAACCAGAGAAGCAGTAACACCAGAGACAGAGGCAGCGGTGCTGGCATGAAGCTGAGGGCTCTAGACCCATGGAATGAGCAAAGCTGTGTGCCTGCAGGCAGCGGGGCTGACTGCCAAAATGTGCCCTTCGGTCGTTTAAATGAATACATATTTGCTGTGCATTTTATATACATCAAAAAGGAAAGAAAACAAAGGAGGGACTAGAGGTAAGTATTCTTAACCGATGGTGTAGGGAAGAGTTTGTAATCATTGCAATGAAACCAAATATGGTTGAGTGAAAGGCTGATGATCTGCCCTGTAATCTCTCACTCAATTCACAATAAAAGCTTTTTTTTTTTTTTAAAGGTATCTAGATAGATAGAAGGATAGATGAATTTCAGATAAATGTTTACATTGTCCATTCTGCTATTCTTTCAACTTTTTTTAAAGATATGAAATAAAAGATGACCAAATTTGCAAAAAAAAAAAAAAAGTTCTTTATACAAGGCACACAAAATGTATGTTTTATCAAAAATCTCATGTGCTTTAAAACAACGAACACTAGAATCAGTACATTGACAGAGATGGTCAAAATGTCAAGCCAGATTCAGAAGAGGATTGGAACTAGATGTCATTGTTAACATCAGATGGATTTTGCCTGAACCATGTTTTCTTGTGCTTTACTGAATATGCAAAGGCTTTCCCTATGTGAGTCAAGGAAGCTCTTGACAACATTACGAAGAATGGGTCTACCAGAAATCTTCACTGTGCTCATGACGAGCTGTACATAGACCATGAGACAGTCATTCACACAGAACAAAGGGATACTGATTGGTTTAAACATGGGAAAGGCGTGTGACAGGGTTGTATTCTCTCACCAGAATCATTCAATCCGTATGCTAAGCACAAAATCAGAGAAGCTGGATTATATATGAAGAAGAACGTGGCAACAGAATTGAAGGAAGACTCATTAACAACCTGTGATATGCAGATGATACAACCATGCGTACTGGAAGGGAAGAGGAATTAAAATATTGATGAAAATCAAAGACCACAGCCTTCAGTATGAATATAAAGAAAACAAAAATCCTCACCATGAATTTAAAGAAAACAAAAATCCTCACCAATAAATAACATTATGATAAATGAAGAAACGATCGAAGTTGTCAAGCACTTCATTTTGCTTGGATCCACACTGAATACTCATGGAAGCAGCAGCCAAGAAATCAAACAACGTACTGCATTAGGCAAATCTGCTGTTGAAGATCTCTTTAAAGTGTTAAAGAGCAAAGATATCAGTTTGAGGACTAAAGTGCATCTGACCCAAGCCATGTTATTTTCAATGGTCTCAAATGCATGTGAAAGTTGGACAATGAATAAGGAAGGCCGTAGACAAATGGGTGCATTTGAGTTATGGTGTTGGCAGAGAATATTGAAATTACCGTGAACTGCCAGAAAAAACAGCCAAAATGCTTCTTAGAATCCAAGATGGTGATACTTCATCTCTCATACTTAAGACATTTGATCAGGAGGCACTAGTGCCTGGAGGACATCATGCTTGGTAAAATAGAGGGTCAGCGAAAAAAGAGGAAGACCCCCCAATGAGATGAACCGGCACAGTGGCAGCAGCAATTACGTCAAACATAGCAACAATTTTAAGGGTGCAGGACCCGGAAGTGTTTCGTTCTGTTTTGCACAGGCTCTCTCTGAGTGGTAGCTGACTCAATGGCCCCTAGCAACAACATGAGAAAAATACCGAATGATGCTGGAAGCATCGAAAGAAGAGAGAAAAATGCAGAGAGAGTCACTGTGCCAAAAAGAATTGGTCAACGCTCAACCATTTCAGGAGACACCATATGATCAAGAACCTTCAGTGGTACTGAAGGAAGAGATCCAAAACACACTGTAGACACTGGTGAAAAACACGATTCCAAGAATGAACGGAATAAAAATAAAAAGAATTAACGGAATATAAATTGGAATTTTCCCACAAACTCATGCAACACTGGAGGCACTTACTTATCTATTTCAGAATTTTGGAAGACAGCTCTCTGGCCACCTGGAAATAACAACAACATCCTTATTTGTGCCCATTCCACAGAAAAGGTGATCCAAGGAAATACAGAAATTATGGATCAATACCATTATCAC